CCACCAGGGCTCCCGCTGGACCCAGGATGCCAGCACCAGGTGCCTCGGGACCTCTTGCACACCCTGGCCCCACCGTAGAGCCGCAGCTGGAGAGCCTGCCATCCCCCCTCTGGCTCTGTCTTCCACTCTGCCCCTCCCCCGTGCACCCCCTTTTCCTTGTCTCCTTGATTTCCTCCCTCGCTCCCATTTCCACGTGCCGGCCCCCGGCCATGCTGCTCCCCAGCCCTGTTCGGCAACCCCCCACCCCCCCAACTCCTCCCTCCTGTCTCCCATCTCCCCATACTTGTCTGTCTTTATAGTCACTTGGAATTTCCTGGCTTGGCAGGGGCTCAAAGCCTAAACTATGGACATAATGAAAAGTGGTGCATCAGACCAGCCACCAGTTAAATAATGTTTGGGTTCTTGTCAGAATGTCACAGAGTACCCTGTCATTTTGTTTCAGCAACTTGTCCTTCTGAATGCACAGTTCGCCTTATGGCATGCCAGCAGTAAAAATGTCACTTACAATAATTACTTTTTGGTGAAAATGCTTGCTGACTTCCTACCTTCAAGCTGTTTTTTACACAGTGGGGAGATAATAAGAAATGACTTTATCCTGACTGCTCAAATGAACACTAAATGGAATTTGGGTTATTATTACTGCAGATAGAGGGCCGGGTATGGAAATTTCAACGGTGGATCGGATAAACTGCAGGGAGATGTGTCTCTGGAAATTATGGCGGGTGAGCGTTTTCAACCGACTTCTGTTGAAAACTTAAGGCAGCTGTTGTTTGCCTGCTGTTTTTGGAATATAATATTTTTCATAATCCTTTTATAGTTCCTGGATGCCTCATGAATTTCGGAGGGCCTCAAGTCACTGCCTCTGCTCTCTGTATCTTACTAACCAAGCGACTCCTGTGCAAGATTCGAAGCTTTGCAAAAAAAAAAAAAAAAAAAGTAATCCACATGGGTCACTTCTTAATGTAACACCTTAGTATTGCTGTCAATATCGGGTAGATGAGCTGTGTGCAGGGGCTTTCCCAGTATGCAAATTGCCCGTTTTCGATTGGCCCAGCCCTGCTGTCTGAGGGCGCCGCCAAAGCAAAATGGGTGTCTGATTTCTCTTATCCCCAGTGCCCAGCGGGCTGCATGGCACAGAGTAGGCGCTTTCAGAATGCCTGAGTGAGCGAGCGAGCAAATGAATGAATGAAGGGCAGGCACGCGGCTACTCCAGTGACTGCCAGACAAAGGGTGGGTGGAAACACGGAGGCTTTCCACTCTCAGCCTGGTTCAGATCCTTCACCCACGTGACCTGGACAAGTCATATTGCCTGTCTGTGCCTTGGTTTCCCCGCCTGGAGTGCGGAGAATCGGATGCAGCCGTGCGTAAACGCCCTCCGTTTATCACTGGGTACTACGTGCATTCTGGTTCCCTTCCCTAATCCCAGTAGTGGGTTGGCTCTTGGGTGCTGGCCATCCCGTTTTTGAGATTCATGCATGGTGACATATGGATTGTAGAGCAATCGTGTCCTGGAAGGCAGGCCCAGTCGTGCTGCCACGAATGGACACCCGGTTTCGGGCCCCACCGTACGGGTGGGCTGTTCTGAATACAGAACATCTGACTGGTTCTTGGCTGTGTCACCAGACAGGGCATCTTAAGTCTGTCAAAGGAGGGAAATGGATATACCTGCCTCACACTGAGGTCCTTGTGAGGAGCGCGGTTGGTCATTCTCGTGAGCCCTAGCCCAGGGCCTGGCATGCAGGGAGTGCATGAGAAATGGTGTTAGCTTACATAGGAGCTACTCTAACGAATGATGATAAAATAAGGCTTCTTTTTTTATTTATTTGAGAGAAGAGAGCATGAGCTGGGGGAGGAGCAGAGGGAGAGGGAGAAGCAGACTCTGCACCGAGCATGGAGCATGACGTGGGCCTTGATCTCACGACCCCGAGATCATGACCTGAGCCAAAACTAAGAGTTGGACAGTTAACCGACTGAGCCACCCAGGCGTCCCAACAAATACATTTCAATACAATTTAATAACCGCTTTTAAAAACAAAACAAACAAACCCATCAAATTCAGGTTGTGTTTCTTAGCACCAGCCATGTGGGAGGTTCAGTCCTCACTGCAACACTGTTGGCATTTTCCAGATGAGGAAGCCAGATGTCCCAAGAAGTTGTGAATGTCATTCCTGTGAACACAGCCAGCTAGTAGAGGTAGCCTCATCCCCGAGTTCATCTTAATGCCAAGCCCAGGACTCCTGCTTTTTTTTTTTTTTAATTATTTTTAATTACATGGAGTGGAAGAAAGCCTTATTCCTTCACCTTCGGAAAGTATTGCTTTAGACCGAAGCCTCTGTTTACTGATACTTGGAAAACAAAACAAAAAAAAGTAATATTTCTTCTTTTTTTGGACAACATCTCTTGTTCTGTCAAGATGGCCAAGGACAGGCAACCACATGTCCTTCCTGCACCCAGGGGCGGGACCGCCTTGTGGGGGGCTCTGGAGCTTGTTTCTGGCTTGACTTTGGTTACTGAGTTTGCTGGTTCGGGTGCTGGAGCTGGGTGCTTACTGGAAACAGCTTTCTAAAGAAATGACTCTTTCTGGGCACCTGGCTGGCTCAGCCAGTTAAGCGTCTGCCTTCGGCTCAGGTCATGATCCCGGGGTCCTGGGATCAAGCCCCACATCAGGCTCCCTGCTCAGCAGGGAGTCTGCTTCTCCCTCTCCCTCTGCCTCCCTCTCTCTGTCTCTCATGAATAAATAAATAAAAACCTTAAAAAAAAAAAAAATAGAAGTGACTCTTTCCACAGTGATGTTCTCAGCATGAGAACTCATGGGGTCTCCAATGGGGCCATTTGCTCTTGCATCTGTCCATGCCTATCCAAACACGGGGGGCCTGATTCTGCTTTCCATGAGCTGAGAGCGCAGTGGTTATCTGTGTGCACATGTGTCTGTCCGTGAATAACATCCCCCAGAAAGAGCACTCAGCTTCGACTTGTCTTTTACATTTAGACCCAGACTCAGAGCAGAGTCCAATGCACACCAGCCCGGCAGCACACGCCCGGTACCTTTCAAGGCCGAGGTGGGGTTTTGATCTTAAGGGCTTTGAGCCGGGAGCTCCATCTCGGCTGACGCCGCACAAAATGGGAAGCACCAGGGCAGTGGCTCCGTGCGGTCTGTCAGGCAGGCAGCCATGCTTTTGACCTTGCTGTGGGTTACAGGACACAAACCTGAGAAGGAATCTGTTTATCATGTGGGGATTCGTACCATCCTTGACAGTCTGCAGTGAGCAAGATGGATGATCTGCCAAATCGGTCCCTCGCATGGGTGAATCAGGGCAAATTTACAGTACAATTTCTTTGCTGCTTCAGATACAAAAATAACATTTGCTGGGTTTTATATCCAGTTGTATGATGACCTGGAGGTGAGCAGAGAGAAGAAATCCGATTTGTAGGATTCATATTGCCTTAAAGATTTATATGGATCATTTCTGCTGTTTACGCCTATCTCTTTTACATCTTTCACAAACCAGTGGGTTGTGGTTTTTTTTTAAGCCAGATTTTCGAGGTTGAGAACACAGGTTTATGTGATGGTGGAACTCTGTTCCTGCTTAGGACAATAAACAGGTTTATCGGTTGAGTTGCAGTTGTTTTATTTGGGATTTTATCTTTCTAGGTGTTTATATGAACGAGCCCTTGTATTCGGAATACGTTTCCCATCCTCTTGAGTTCAGAGTAGGCTGTTATCCTGGATATGGTATGTCCAGGAAGGGATACCCCATGTCTGTGTCCATCTGAAATTCAGTCATCACTCAGTGTTAACATTTTGTTTCATCAGGTAGTGAGTATTTGGGGAGGGGGGCGCCCGTGTGTACTGATGTTCCGTGAGTGGCCTGCTTTCTGAAACATCATCTCTCTGGGGCCAGAGAACCCATGTGAAGACACCTGGCCTGGCCCCTCACACATGGTGCCGTGCGGTCTTACCATGTACCCTGCTTGATGGGGGGGCTGGGGAGGGGTCGGGGGAGACCATACCAGACCCCAAGCCATCGGCAGATTTTACCTCATGGGTAGGACCACGGTGCTAAATCACTCTGCACTTTCCTTCCGCACACAACCTCTCTCTGTATCTGGTAATTGGGAAATGGCCAAAGCCTTTATTCCAGACATCCCAAAACTAAAATGGATGCTGGGTTTCACGGGTGAGGCTGACAGGGAGACCAGAAGGGACCGCTCCCCAACAGAGCACGGGGTGGCACTCCCCCCTGGGCACCTGCGATGGGACAGAGACCCTTCTTAAGAAGGGAGAGCATGGAGACCTGGCTGCCACCCTGGCCCCATCTCTCCCGGCAGTGGCCACAGCATGGGTGGCGTACATAAACAGAGCTCCGCCTTCAAACTCGCGTCCTAGCGTTTGACGGGGAACAGAGTGGGTGCTCCTCTTCTGTCGGTTCCCTCCAGCTGGGTGCTATGGAGCCCTCCGGGGTCACAGCAAGAACCCACATGAAGTCCCGGGACTCAGTCCTGGGCCCCCCAGCTGGGGCCAGCCGCCGAGACCTTACGCCTCCTCTTCGAGGGTCTTCATAACCATGGTGGCCACGCCCTGTGGGCAGCCCTCATTTAAAAGAACCCACCCATTCATTTTGTTCTGGAAATTATGGACAGAATAAATCTGCAAATTATAAGTTAGCCAAGGTCCTTCTGAATTAGGGAATGAGGGGGTCCCATTGGAAGAAAATCACGACTGCGTGAGCCCGTGGTTCATAGGACAGCAGTTTCTCAACAGAATGCCCTTACATTGGGCCTTCAGAAACCTTTTGTTTAACCCCCGAGTTTTTCTTCTGTTGCCGTTACGTTTTATTCTGTAAGACAACATTAGAGGTTTCTCCCAGCCTTAGAACCATAGCTGCCATGCTGTATGCTTGCACGGGCATTTCACTGATACTTCCTAGGTAAGGAAAGTAGACGTGCGCCGTGAAAGACAGCTATTTTCAGCCCCGGATTGTCGTGTGCTTTAATTACAGAAAGCACTCCAAAGACCTCTGCCAGCTGCAGCCCTGCACCCGAGTCACCGATGAGCTCTAGCGAATCCGTCAAGAGTTTGACTGAGCTGGTCCAACAGCCCTGTCCCCCCATTGAAACGAGTAAGGATGGCAAACCACAAGAGCCCAGTGACCCACCTGCCTCAGACTCCCAGCCCACCACCCCTCTGCCTCTTTCCGGACACTCGGCCCTCAGCATCCAAGAGCTGGTAGCCATGTCTCCAGAGCTGGACACCTACGGCATCACCAAGAGAGTCAAGGAGGTGCTGACGGACAACAATCTCGGTAGGTTCCCTCCCTGGCTGCCAAGTCGGGGGTGCCAGGTTGCTTCCTGTTGGTTTCTGGAGGGATGGGTGGAGGGCACTCAGGCTGAGCCAGCCAACAGGTTTAAACGTTGATAAGCTACCTCTAAGAACATACAGTGCCCTCCGGCTGTGAACACGAGGGCTCCTCAGGGCGGTCAGTCCCGGCCTGCTCCTGCCCCCGCCCCCCCGCCACAGCGCCCCCACTGGGACCTCTTAGCGGATACCCATGCGGCTGGAGCGGACTCACGCCAGGCGCTGAGACCGCCTGACTGGGGCATGCCTGGTGGAACTCCCGGTCCTCGAGGGCACCAGCGCTGGGCCCGAGCAGCGTCAGCCCAGCCCATCCCATGGCGTGTTGGGAGAGTCCCCAGACTGGGTTCATAGCCCAGTTCTTCCTCTTGCTCTGTCCGTCAGCCTGAGCAAGCTACTCTCGGAGCCTCCCCTGTACCTCTGGGACAGCAGTGCCCGACTTAGGCCTGTTGAGTAGCACCCTGCCTGCAGCTAATAGTCCATTATTGTCCCCACCTCCTGCCTGATGATGCCGGCTCCCTTCCCCAGGCCCTCCACTGGGAGGCAGTAGAGAGCTCCTACGGAACTGAGTTCGCCACTCCTCCCTCGAGGGTTCACCGCAAACCCAGGCGGTTAGCTTCGTGCATGCCCCACCCGAGGCGGCTCTCCCCTGAGGGCTCTGTGGCACAGTCAGTAGCTGTGATGCTAGGAATATTAGAGCATTTGGTCATTTTAAACCTTTGTGCTCCTGTGGTTCAGTAGGGACCACATGGGGTTCTCCAGGCTTGGCCACCCAGAGACTGGAAACAGCCACTCCCCAAACACTTAATGTGGGCCTTGAACTCATGACCCTGAGATCAAGACCTGAGCTGAGATCAAGAGTCAGAAGCTTCACCGACTAAGCCATCCAGGCGCCCCAAGTCCCCCAAACGCTTCTGTCCTTACTTCCCAAGTGTAGATGTCAATTAAGGAGCACTGTTCTATGCGGTACATGTTATGACAACCCCGAAGAGTGGCTGGAATTTGCAGAGGGGCCTTGCATGTCTGTTTTTCCCAGGGGATAGGAAAAGAAGGGAGTAGCAGTGAAGTGAGTTTCAGGGAAGTGTGTGTGGTGACTTCACAGCTCGGAGGCTCGGCGGCCAGCTTGCCTGGTTAAGGTCCTCTGTCCCACTGCTTACGCAAAAGAGAACAAGAGAAAAAGTAATGTCAACTGAGAATGTTTTGAATTAAGTTAATTCAAAGAAATAAAATTTAGCTGTTGATTTTTTTAAATGGCCGTGAAGTCCCGCATGTTCATCAATGATTGAAATACGCAGGGATTCCTAGACACAGGTCATCCCCTACCTTACAGTCTTATCACGACTCCAGAGAAGCAGGCCCGATAGATTATTGCTGCCCACTCCCTTATAGGAAGTGTTGTTTCTGTAGTCATGGGCAAGCAGCTGAAGAAAACTCCCTTTAAACCACTGAGAAAGGGCGCCTGGGTGGCTCAGTCGGCTAAGCATCTGCCTTGGGCTCAGGTCACAGTCTCAGGGTCCTGGGATCGAGCCCCGCATCGGGCTCCCCACTCAGCGGGGAGTCTGCTTCTCGCTCTCACTCTGCCTCAGTGCACTCTGTCTCTCTCTCTCAAATAAATAAATAAAATCTTTTTTAAAAATAGACAAGCCACTGAGAAGTTGCAAGATCACAGCTGTGAGGTCATAACATTAAAATCTCATCCTTGGCCTTCCCATCCCTGTTTCCATCCTTGCTGGAGTTCTGGCTGGTGTTGGTCGTGTGCCACCACAGTAGAACCCCACTGGCCTGTCGAACTCCCATTTTCAAATGCTGTGAAGCACAAAATCAGGGGTGAAACTTTCCACCCCAGAGAGAGAGAGGACTTCCTCCTTTCGGAGCAGGAACTTCCGGAAGAGCTCCCTAGCGGTGCCACCACGGAGCTGAGAAGCACTCTCGGTGGTTGCTATAGCTGGTCTTAGCTTTTCCAGGGTGGAAGCTGCCTCCCCTGCTGGGGTCTCTCAGTGGAGTAATGGGCACGGAGGGGGCCAAGTTATAGCTGAATAATGCAGCTATAAGGCCCAGGCATCCTCTTCACTTCTGACTTGAGATCTTGACGTGTTCATGGGTCAGTCTCTTAAAATCATAAGCAGAGTGCACGTGTGCGCACATTTTATCAGGTAAGGGTCAGTAGCTTTCTTCAGGTTCTCAAGTAGGTCCATGACCCAAAAATGATTGAGAGTTGCTGCTATGAAACCTCTAGAAGTAATAAAAATTTCCAAGAATATTCATATGATTTCCTCTCCTCCCCCACCCCCCCCAACAAGGTGGGTCAAGCAAGTAATAACCAGCTGTTTATTACATCTATCACTTTCCTGCACATAGCGAACTCCTTGGTGGTGTTTCTCGCAGACGGAGGGCGTGAGCCTGTCTGTCATCCACGGTCACCCTGCCACGGAGGGGCAGAGCTGCTCTGGGCCTGGGGGTCATGTTCCCTACGCTTTGTGGCACCAAACACTGGCCTGTCTGATCCCAGTCTCCATTTCCACCTAATAAGTCCTATTATTCACCTTCTCCCATCTGGTCGCTCAGGTTGTCCCTGATTTCTCATTTGCGCCTTCAAAAGTGCCGGCTCCTCTTAACCTGCAGCTGAATGGCTCTCAGAGAAGAGACATTTTCTTTTTAAGCCTCTGACGAACATGGCCAACCTGGGGCCGCTCTGCTCTCCAGAGCAGAATTCCCTCTGATCAGCCTGGGGAGCAGGCTGCCCACCACGGTCTCGGAGAAAAGGCATCGAGGAAGGGGTTTTGATCCCCTTTGAGCTCCAGTCAGCAGAGGCAGCTTAGACTGCGGGAATAGACTTTAGAATTGGAAATGGCCTGCTTTTCAGAAAAACAGAGCTGAGGGGCTCTTTCTCCTTCTCTTTCCTGCTGTGACCTTGGGTCAAGTGGCCTGTTTTCTCAGCAAGACCGGATAACCTTGCTAATCGTGAAAGGAGCCAGACAGCCCTGTGGTTTGAGGTTGTATAAGAGAGGGCTCCCCGTGTGCTACTTAACCTCCCGAGCTTGGGTGAGGGATTAACCACCTCTGATAAGCGCCGCAGGTGTGTTATCCAGGCCTCAGTACATCCAAAGCCTGGAGGCTTTTTTGAGAGAAACGTTGTCGTGTGCCCACAGAATGCAGGAGTAATACTGACTCCATCATCAGTGGAGTTTGTCACAAGTCTGGTTGAAGAAATGCTTTTTAAAAAAAAAAGATTTTATTTATTAGAGAGCATGCGTGAGCAGGAGAGAGAGGGAGGAGAGAGACTCTCAAGCAGACTCCGCACCGAGTGCAGAGCCCACCATGGGGCTCCATCCCACAACCTCGAGATCACGACCTAAACCAAAACCAAGAGTCAGCCCCTTAACCAACTGAGCCACCCAGGGCGCCCCTGAAGAAATGCTTCTAGAAAGTGCTTGCTCCGAGGCAGCCCCCGGCTGGCCAGACTCCAGGGTTTCAGACCCCGTGTCTGACTTTAACGTTGGCTCATACTTGTCCTTCCAGATCCCTCGGTCTCCGTCGTAATGTCTCTCTCGGTTCTGTTTTCTCACCAGGTCAGCGCTTATTTGGGGAGACCATCTTAGGGCTCACCCAAGGCTCCGTCTCCGATCTCCTTGCTCGCCCAAAGCCCTGGCACAAGCTCAGTCTGAAGGGACGGGAGCCCTTTGTCCGTATGCAGCTATGGCTGAATGACCCCAACAACGTGGAGAAGCTGATGGACATGAAACGCATGGAAAAGAAAGGTAAGCCCCACCGCCCACTCTGGCCAGTTGCCTTCTCATCTACGAATGCGCCGTTTCTTTTGAAGCCTATGTGCAGAGCTGGTGAGAGACATTGATCTGTGGTCAGGCAGGGCAAAGGGATTTTTGACAATCATCAACTGACGAGGACCTACGAGGCCTGGGAAGATTTGTGACTTTTTCTCCCCAGCAGACTGAACCCAAAATATATTTTGGCATTGGGGGGCACCCGGACAGTTCCTTACAGTCGCCCTGGTGGTCACTGTACCCTTTTTCTTCTTGTAAGGCCACCAAGAGGTGAACATCACAGCACTCGGTGGTGGTGGCCCATTTGTATATTGTCTTTGTCTTGGCAGGTCCATGGGGCAGTTCGTCTCGTGCACGTGTTTCACGTGCCAGGGCCCTCCGTATCGTATCTTATTGGCGAGATCATTCATAAACACATTTGTAGATAAGAAAACTTGGGTTTAGAGAAGTTGGGCACCTTCATTAAGGTCACCCAGCCTGGAAAACAGAAGAGCGAATTCCTGCCAGAGCAGGTCTCTCTCGCTGTTACTTTATGGTCTGTGGGGCTCTGCAGGCCTCAGCCCCCTTGAGGGCCAAGTGCGGCTCTTCTTTCTATATGCATCTGGAGCCCTCTCGAATGCTGACCAGCCTTCTTCGGGCACCTTGGTGGTGCAAAGTAATGTCTGCTCTGTCCCCTCATTTGCACTCCTACCTGCGGCTCCTCGCTCGTGGGTCCTCCCCTCAGAGGGCACAGTGCTGTAAGCTCACGAAGTGGCCGAATCAGAATCCCTTAGATGTGGAGGCGAGGCACCACGCGCCTGTGTGGCCGGGGCGTGTCTGAGCCAGGGGCTGGGCACGGAGCCCGGGCCTACATCCTCTGAGTTCACCAAGAGAGCCTGCTGCTCACGGCCGGCCTGGTGGCACGTTTGTCACCCAGCCAGGGCAAGGGCCAGAGCTCCAGGAGGAAGTGAGCATCTCTGGTGTCTCCTCCGAGAGCTCCGTGGGGTCAGGCCTCCTGTTCACCAGGTGCTGTGCTGAGACCTCACACAGTCCCCCCCCCCCCGCCCAGCTCTGTCCAGTGTAGGCGCATTCTCCAGGAAAGATGGGGCTCTGGCGTTATGAGACTTGCCTGATATCAACCACTGGCAGAAGGAGGAAGGAGGGAGCAGGAATCCAGAATCACAGGCCGGCCGACTCTGGAGCCGGTGCTTCTGATGTGTGTTGTGCTCCCTTGTGCCCGGAGCCTGCCACCCTGGGACCTGGGCCCACGCAGCGGCCTTCCACTGCACGCAGGGCCCTCCGGTGGACTCCGGCCTGCCCTCCGGGGTGCAGACCAAGGCCCTGACACAGTCCACAGCCCTTTGGGCGGCCACAGATGCCTGGTGCCACATAACCCCCAAAAGTTTTTTAACTTTCTACCTTGGGAAATTTCAAACCAAAAAGCAGAATGGTACCATGAACCCAGTACATCCATTACCGAGTTTCAGCGGTTATCAGTGCCCACCCAAGCAATGTGAAAACTTTCTGCACACTGGCAAAAGGCAGTGCCTGCCTCCTTGAGCTCCCTGGGAGCCCCCCCGGCCAGCCCTCCGAGGCCACCCCCTAAGCAGCCCCCCATGGCTGCAGGCATCAGGAGAGGGACAGCCCTGGTTCTGTCACCCCCTGGTCTGTTTGTCCTTGGAGGCCACTAGAAAAGGACCCTTGCCCCCACAAGTAGATCTTTGGGGGCTTCCTAGGCCTCCGCTCCTTCAGCACGGGCTCTGGGCGCCATCTTGTGTTTCAGAAGAGTTACTGTTTCCGCCGGGCCCAGGCCCCTCCTCACATCCATCCCAAGGTCCCTAAAAGCAGCTGTGGGCCCACTGTCTTCTCCCTCCCTCTAGCAGGGATGCTCACTCGAGGAGCCTTCCCCAGACACACCAGTGGGTGAGCCAGAGCACAGCGCTGCCCGTGATGTCCGCCCGATGGGAGCGGCCAGCTGGACACACTGGGCTGGGTTCTTTCTGGCCACTGGCTGTATCCTATTCATTCTCTTTGGGGGAAGATTTGCCTTCTCCACGGTGTTCCTAGATATAATCCTAAAATGGCAAGTTAGTTAAGTCACTGCCTGGCCTAAGTTTCTGCCTCTGTAGAATGAGGCCGCTCCTGTGAACTTCTCCAGGTTGGAGCATCAGAAAGAACATGCCGAGCGTAGCAACCAGCACACATAACTGCTCAGCAAATGAGTTTTTAAAATAAGTTGGGTTCCTTTAAAATAGATGAAAGCCCATCGTGCTCCCAGTCTAGACCGCACTGGGTGATCCCACGTGCTCTCTGCTTCCTTCTCTTCCCGAACGAAAGCTTTGCGTGCTTCTCCCGTTAGCTCGAATGTTTTACTGCTCTCCTTCCTTCTTCCTTTCCTCTGAACATTTTGTGTCCACCCTGGTCTGCCTTCTGTTTTCTGTCCCTTTATGAGATGGCCCTTGAACCAACCTGTTCACACAGCCCCCGGCCCCCAGACGCACTCACGCAACGCACGCACGCACCGCCTGGGCTAGCTCGTGGGCTCCTCTGACCACCCACAGTCCTCTCCCGTGACGTTTATTTGTGACCCGAATGTGAGGGCTGCCACAGGGCTGGGGCGCTGGCCACCATCAGGCAGGACAGAGCAGACGTGGGTCAGACGTACCAGCTGTGTGACCCTGGCCTTCGGTCTCCATCTGTACACCAGGACGGTCCTGGTCCCTCTCGCGGGGCATCCCTGGGAGGATCGCTCGACAGAGGTTGGCTTTACTGCTACAGCCGCTCTTCCTCCCCACCTGCTGCTTGAATTACGTAATGTTACGTCCCATCTTCCATCCGTTTTAAGAAGTTTTAAGGGGTTTTCAGACTAGATTCCAAGCTAACCCGCTAGAAAGCTCACCGTGGAGGACTCATTTGCTGGAGAGGTTAGGGTTAGGGTTGGGGTCCCATGCTTTGCCCCATCATTTTGCCATCTGGTGCCCTTGCCTCCTTCCGCCAACATCCCAGACTCCTTGATCCATCACTCCAGGATGCTCTGCCATCGTCCGAGACGGACTTCTCTCTCTCCACCTTCCCATTCCCGTCCCCCTGCAAATCCCAGCCCTGGATTAGTGCTCCGCTGGCTCTCTCCACCCATCCTCCTTGGCTTCTGGGACCTGAGCATCCCAGCTCTACGTGGGTTGGAGCTGCCTCAGATTTGGGGCTCCAGCTTCAGCGGGGTCCCCTGCTCTTCTCCCCACCCCCGCCCCCCCCTTCACCCCGCTCAAGACTCCGTCCCCATCACTTCAGATCACCTCTGCTCCTGCCTCCCTCCTCCTTCAGGAGAACGCAGGCCCCCAGCTTTCCCACCTCAGTCCCTGTCAGCTTGTCTGCACCTCCAGCCCCCGCCCCCTCCCGTCCTGCCTCCCGCGGCACCTGCGGTGATTCTCTCTCTCACCTGTACCACCAGCTCTCTCCCCTCAGCTGTGGAAACACTGTCAGCTCACTCTCATCTTTAAATCCGCCCTCAGCCCTGGATTTCCCTTCTAGAAGCCATCCTGTCTCTCGCTGTTCTTTTACATTTGGGCGTCTTAACGTAAGAACTCGTGCTCACTGCCTTCACCTCCTCACCTCCCGTTGAGTACTCTGCCTACTGCCACCTGGCTTCTCCCACAGCGACACTGCACCTGTTCACCGCGGTCCCCAGTGCTGTCCTAACCGCTAAAGCCAGAGAGCCTCCTGGGGGCTCATCAGACTCTCTGCATGCTGTTGATCGGCTCTCCTCACTCATCCCTTTGCTCCCACTGTTGTCTCCTGGTTTTCCTCCCGTCTCTGGATCCCTCATACCTGCTTCTTTCCGGGGTTACCTCTGCCCGTGGGTGTGCCACAGGGTTCCATTCTCAGCCCTGGTCTTTCTCCTCGACGGCATAGACTGCAACCATAGTTTCTGTCCCAGTGGTCCAAAATTCTTCTCTCTAGCCCAGACCGTTCTTCTGAGCCGCCTACCTACCAGTCCCGCTGCCTTCAGGACATCTCCATGGGGGCAACCCAGAGACACTGGCGCCCCCCCTCATCTCGCAGCATGAGACCAGGGGGCTCCTCCACTCTCCTCTCCTCAGTCCCTCAGGAATCTGTCCCCCAGTCCTGTCAGCTCTGGCCCCTACCACCTCCACGCCCTCGGCTTTCCTCCAACCCCTCCGCCACCTCCCCAGTTCCGATCTTTATCATTCTTACCTCCTAACTGAGGGCCCTCCTGCCGGTCCTCCCATCCAGTCCGTCCTCAGCTGCAGCCAGAGCAGTCTTTCCAAAACGTGTATAGCTGCTCATACCAGCCCTCTAACTAAAAAGCCTCTTCATTTCTTCCTACTGCATTTAGGGTCAAGTCCAAACTTCCGGCCTACCCAGACCCTGCCTGTCTCTCCAGCTCCTGCGTCCCCCTCCACACCCCTTGTGCACGTACGCGCGCACGCACACACACTCTGGAACTGTGCCGTCTCGTGCCCCTGGGTCTTTGCACACGCTTGTCCCACTTTTTGGAACAGCCTCTTACCATCTTCTACCTCATCACCTATTTTTTCTGGTTAATCACTCCTTGGCCTTCAAGATTCTCCTGGGAAGCCTCCCTTGAGCCCTCCCCAGGTGCTCCCTTAGTGCCTCCCTCCATGATCCCCCGTGCTTGCCTCCCCCACTGCGCTCTACGGGGGCCACCTGTACACTTCCCTGCATGCCCCACGAAGCCGTTCGGCAGGGACAGCCGGCGACCTGGCAGTACAGCCGAGCGGGTCCTTGATGAGTGTGTGCTGGGTTTCCGAATGGTTCTAGTCCAAGTGTTTTGAGATGCTCTTTGGAAGAGCAGGGCAGAACAGCCAGCTACCACGATCTACACAAAAGTCACTGTGAGCCAACGGGGCTCCGTGGCGCTCTGGGGGGCCGGGGGCTTGGGCGGATCTCCCAGTGGGGCCTGCAGCTCAGTCCGATCTCTCTCCCTCCCTCAGCATACATGAAGCGACGGCACAGCTCAGTCAGCGACAGCCAGCCCTGCGAGCCCCCCTCCGTTGGCATTGACTACAGCCAGGGCGCCAGCCCCCAGCCCCAGCACCAGCTAAAGAAACCCCGAGTGGTGCTGGCTCCTGAAGAGAAAGAGGCTCTGAAACGAGCTTATCAGCAAAAGCCATACCCGTCACCAAAAACCATCGAAGAACTCGCCACCCAGCTCAACTTGAAAACCAGCACCGTCATCAACTGGTTCCACAATTACAGGTACGGTCCGGCTCTCGGCCCAGGAAATCAGGGCTCCGAGAGCGCGCACCATCAGCCCTTGCGAAGCGGCTGGTCTGTCCCGCACACGGTGGCCATGAACACTGCACAGGGATGGTGGTCTGGGGACTTGGCCCTGGCCGGCTGGGGACTAAAAGCTTGGTGTTTGGTCGGTTAGTTGGCTTTTTACGTTTCATTGGAGTTATTAACTCCCAAGATGCAGGGTCACGTGGTTAGAGACACTCCACGTCTGCTGTGGCCAGGAAGACAGTTATCACTTAGTAAGAGAGAACGTAGGCATCCGTGGCTCCATAGCAGCGAAGGTTTCTTCGTGGAGACCCGAGGGGTCTTGTACAGCATTATCTTCCAAATGAGTTTGATTAGTTTTGTAGTTAAATAAATTGAGTCAAGTTAATGAAGATTTATTGAGCATCTACTAGATCTCCAGACACCGAGCCAAGTGTGTTAATCAGCACCGTCCCACTTGATCTTCACAATCATATAAGGGACAGAGTTCTACCTGCATTTTACAGGTGGAAAACCTAACACTCCGAGGGGTTAAGTAACTGACCGAGGCGGAAGGGCCTAGTGCTCTCCCATAGAATGAAGCGGACTGGAGTAAAATGTTTGGATGAGCTCATGAAAATCCACTGGGACACATAATGGCTTGTTGACCATAGCTGTAATCCAGACTTCCTCTGCTAGAAACCAGGACACCCCAGTGGCCTGATGGGCATGCCTTCTTCTTTAATGCCCTGGAAGTGACCGTCAGTTGCTCGTTCTCATTAGAACGTCCTTTTCTCTAGGGCTCAACAGGACTGGGGCAGGTGCTCCTGGTCCTACCCAGGTGACAAGTACACACACGTAGCCAGTGCAGGCGGAGCCCTCCTGGTTACTTGCCTCAGACAAGTTGTGGGCAGCAGAATATCCTAGATAGCCGGGGGCCGCAGGGAGTTGTGTCTCCGACTGGACCCTGCCTTACCTGTTAGGCTCCGCTGCAGTTTCCCAAGTGGCCCGGCAACCCCACCCCACCCCCCAGTGCTGAGCAAAGTGGGAGGTTTTAAAATATTAGATGGGACCCGAAATAATACCTTGACTGCTGATGAAAGCTAAGTTCGCATTTGTAGCTTAGTGTGAGAACAAACAGCCCTGCTGCCTGACCCCCTGGAACCAGGCAAGTTTATCCATCCCCATGCGCGGGCTGGCCCCTGTGAGGGCAAAGAAAGTACACGAGCTGAGCACCACCAGCTTACTCATCCTAAATTTACAGATGAGCTAAAACCAGAGGCAGAGCGAGGCTAGCAGATGCGATAATGGAGCTCCCTCTACAAGGAAGGAGACTTCAAGAACAGTAGTCAAGGGAAATGAAGGAGAATGAATGGGAACCTGGGCAGAGGTTCCCCAGAGCAGCCCCACCCCCGCCAGGTGTTGTGCAATCCCATTTTCACTTTCTAGACACAGAGGTGCATTTGAATATGTACTTTCGAGTCTTCTGCAGGCTGTGTCCATTTAAGTGTGGTAACTCGAGATGACTATCTGAGTAAAGTTGCTACCAATTATACAAAGCATCTCGAGAAACCATTTCCTCTGGTCCCGCTGGGGTCACCTTTTTCCCCAGATCTCATCTACAGGCCTCAACTGAATGGCGGTCACTGCCTCCTGGCCAGGGCAAGCGCTCTCCAGGTTTCTCAGCTTCTGTCAACTCATCTTGCTGACAACCATGGGAATGCCCAGCCCATCACAGGTGGTCAGCCGCTCACTGGAGAGTCCCTATGTGTGCATTTAGCATGAGCAAATTCAACCATATACAACAAAAGTAAAGAGAGAAGGGGAAGAGAAGGAGGAGGAGCAATAGAACCTCAAAACTTAGCAGAGGAGCTCAGATCCAGATCTAGAGTAGATGCTCAGTAAATGTTTTCTTTCAAAATTAACCACAACAAAGCAGGCTGGGCTAAGACAAATGGAAGAACCAAGGGCAGATTTGTTTCAGCTGCAGAGATCTGGAAAAATATCCTGGAAGAGGTGTGAGATGTGCAGGGTCTTGAACAAAGAACTGAAAAGAAATTTTTTTTTTTTTTTAAGATTTTATTTGAAAAAGAGCACAAGCAGGGAAAAGGGAGAAGCAGGCTCCCCTGCTCCCCTGATGCGGGGCTCGATCCCAGGACCCTGGGATCATGACCTGAGCCGAAGGCAGATGCTTAACCGACTGAGCCACCCAGGCGCCCCTGAAAAGAATTTTATAAACGACAAAATAGGTCAGATGAGAAGTGAACACTAGGTCATTCAGAATTGGCATAAAGCCCAAAGTATTGAAGTCCCTTGGTCACCCAGGAGGCACAATGCAGAGCAGAGAGTGAGTGCTCCCTCCATGGCTTTAGCTCTTCCAACTAAATGCTTCCGACGGAGACCAACTTAGCCTGGTAGACCCTCCAGAGCTTCATGTAAGGACTGGCACACATGCACTGAATTCCTCAGGGAGGAGAGAGTTTCTTACATTCTGTGGGAGTTAGACAGGAGAAGTAGATTTTTTTTTTTTTCTCCTGCCCCACCAGACCCCACAGGGAGTAATGGGGAAGGGGGGATCAATTTTTAGCCCCATCAAAAAAATACAATCTTACTTCCTCTTATCTTTTCACCCTCAGGGAAGTACAAGTATCTTAGGGTGACCAGGTATCTTAGGGCCTGGAATGCCAGAACAGACTACCTAGCACAGGACACCGGGTCTCCTCCTAGAACAGGTCCACCCTATAGAAACTCTTCCAAGCCCTAAATACCATGGCATCCTGCGAACCTTGTGTGACTTGTTTGAAAACCAGATCTGCTCCTGGGACCTGATCTTTCTAGATCAGAAGGTAATATTTTTCATGGACGTGGAGACAAATCTAGACTAAGAACGATGATGTCTCCTGTCGGTTGAGCATATGGTATGTGCCAGGCACTGAGCCAGGAGCATTACAGATGTGTCATCTCATTAGATCCTCGGATGAGCTGCCGAGGGTGGCAGCCAGGATGCCAGGCCCCAGGCATGAAGTTGTCCCTTCCCTCCCCCCAGCCCTTTTACCTCAGCCTTAGCACCTAACAACAGGGATTCTGTCATTCAGAAGGCAGATGGAGGGTCTGAACAGCCCTTTTTTTCTGGGTCTACTTTGTGTCCTGTATTGTACATTAATATTTTATTCTTAACATCTCTGCAAGGAAGATGCTATTCTCCACATTTTTCAGATAAGAATCTGAAGCTCAAAACTGTTCAGGCCCTTTTTTCCAAGCTGTATAGCTAATAAGTTTACAAAGCCAGATTTCAAACCCAGGTTGGCCTGGTTCCATAAAGCTCTGTTCTGGGCCAGTCTGCCCCTGGGACTCAGTTAGTACCTGGTAGACCTGTGGCCTGCCGGTCTAGCCTCCCACCTCCCCAGCCAGGGTGGGATGGGGATTAGGTGTTGGCCCCAACTGGCATTCTTGGCTGCCGAGGGGCTTGAAAGGCCTCAGAGTAGGCTTGCCCTCTCACAGCGGAGTGTCCAGTAGCCTATTGACAAAGGCTTGCATTTCCCAGGCCCTCATGGTAGCCCCAGAGAAGGAGGAGAGAGTCTTCTGTTACCCCAGGCAACTTCAGGGGGTGGGGGGCGCTTTAGGACCTCACCCTGTAGCTCTCCCTCAGAAACCATCCTCAGGACAAGGGACAGGGCTCAGACTGTGCAGGGAGCAAATAACAGTGTGAACACATAACCACCCCCAAGGGTTCGGACACTCTAGACCACTTTCTCCCTGGCTTCAGCACTCCCCACATCCAACCCAAGGCCTGGCATATAGTGGGCTCTCGAAACATGTTACCTCTGTTGGGGGCTGTGTACTGCAGAAAATATTTGTAGTGCATGCCTAACCCAAGGGCTTTCGGCAGGCCCAGTTTCTGCAAGACAGTGGGCTTCGTGCCAGTTTACCTGAGGATGCCACTAACAGTTGGCACATTGATCAGAGGCTTTTCAGCTCCTTGGAATGACCATGTAGAGGGAGTTCTGACTGAGCCTAGTGCTGTGAGCAGATGGAAGGAGAAATTCTAAACAGGCTTAACAAGAGCCCTTTCTTGATGTCACCAAGGGCCCCAAAACAGGGGAGGCCTGGGCCCGTCCGTAGCTGTTTCCCTCAGACCCAACGAAGTAAGGGAGCACACGTTCCCCGCTAGGGGGAACTCTCTGCTTGATTACAACATGCTTGATGTGTCGGAGCGCGTATTTGGTCTCCTTCCTGCTTGATCAAAAGTGACCCGTCCCCGGTCTTCTCCTCTTAGGGGAGGGACTGGTTGAAACATAACTGCGTGGAACCCTGCCAGGGCCCTGACCCCTGACCTGTGGCTCAGAGCGCGACGCTGAAGTCTCTCGCTTTGGGCAATGAGTGTTGGTTCTCTCTCCAAGTCCTGCTGCGGAAGCGGTGGTTCGCACCCATCCTGCATTTCCAGCTGTCAGTTCAGGCAGCGTGTATGACTGTGTGCCAAGCACCGTGCCCGGCCCGGGGCGTGCAGAGAACGGGACCCCGCCATCCACAACCTGCTGGGGGCGGGGCGGGGCGGGGCGGGGCGGGGGTGGTGGGAGCGCGCCATTAAACGAGTCACACTGGCGCGCCGTCCTCGTGGGGAAGAGGGGGCTGGCAGCCACCCAAGGGACGACTCAGGCAAAGGCACGGAGTCTGGGAACCGGCGGGGCTGGGGGCTGGGGTGACAGACCCCCCCCCCGCCCAGCGGCCCCGCTCACGTCACCCCCCCCCCTTGTGTCTCGCAGGTCTCGGATCCGCAGAGAACTGTTCATTGAGGAGATTCAGGCCGGGAGCCAGGGCCAGGCCGGGGCCAGCGACTCCCCGTCGGCCCGAAGCAGCCGGGCGGCGCCCAGCTCGGAGGGCGACAGCTGCGACGGCGTGGAGGCCGCCGAGGGCCCGGGCGCCGCGGACGCCGAGGAGTCGAGCGGCCCCGCGGCCGCCGCCAAGTCTCAGGGAGGGCCGGCCGAGGCGGCCGCGGCCCCGGAGGAGCGGGAGGAGGCGCCCAGGCCGGCGGAGAAGGCGCAGCAGCCGCCGCCCTCGGGGGCCCCAGCCCCGGACGACGCCGACGACGAGGGCCGGCCCCGGGCGCCCCCGCCGCCCCCGCCGCCGCCGCCGCCGCCCGAGGGCCCCGCCGACGGCCCGGGGCCCGTGCCAAACCCCGCCGCCGCCGCCGCCGCCGCCGCCGCCGCCGCCGCCCCCGCGGCCGGGGAGGACGCCGCTACCTCAGCCGCCCCGCCGGCGGAGGGCCCCTGCCGGGCCCGGGACGGCGCCGACAGGAGTTCCGCTTTGCCAAGCACCAGCGCGCCGGCGGCCGCCCGCAGGGCCAGCTCGCTGCAGAGCCTCTTCGGCCTCCCGGAGGCGGCGGGCGCCAGGGACTCTCGAGACAACCCCTTGAGGAAGAAGAAGGCCGCGAACTTGAACAGCATAATCCACCGCCTGGAGAAGGCCGCCAGCCGGGAGGAGCCCATCGAATGGGAGTTCTGAGAGGGCGCCGCCCGCCCGTCCCGCCGAGCCGAGCCGAGCCGGGCCGAGCCGGGCCGAGCCGGGCCGAGTCTCGCCGAGCTGGGCCGAGCCGAGTCTCGCCGAGCCGGGCCGAGTTTGGGCCGAGCTGGGCCGAACCAGGCCGAGCCGAGTGCGGCCGAGCTGGGCCGAGTGCGGCCGAGCCGGGCCGAGTGCGGCCGAGCCGGGCCGAGTCCGGCCGAGCCGGGCCGAGCCGGGCCGAGCCGCGCCGAGCCGGGCCGGGCCGGGCCGGGCTGGGCAGAGGGGCTGGGCAGAGGGGCGGGCGCCGACTCCGCGGCCTGGACCGTGTTGCGCACTTACCGCCCTGCGGGCCACAGGGCAAAATCGCCATAGGCCAAGGTGCATATAGAAAACAAAGGAGCATTAAGCCCAATCTATGTCGTGTTTTCAAGGAAGAAAACGGAAATGTGTAGTCGAGCTTTTTTGTACCCTGAAGTGTTTTTTTTATTGCCCTAAGTGATTTCCACAGGTTCTGGAATAACTCTTACAGCTTTGCCTTGCGCCCTCCTCTTTCGTGTGGGCTTTAAAAAAAAAAAAAAAATCAAACCCACATATTAAAAGGGGGCTTTTTATCTGCCATCTAATGGCTTCAGAGCGATAATACACTATTATCTTCTTAAACCAGGAAAAAAAAGGGGGGGAGGGGGGATTTTTCAGAAAAATTAAAAAAGAAAGTTTTTGTAGCTGTTCAGTTGCCACTAAGAGATTGCACAGTCAAACCGACTCTAAACACACTAGTTTGGATTCCTAAATATTTTCAAGTAAAGAATCTTCTCGTTTGAAACTTTGAATTAAAATAAAACACATTTACTCCACATATTTTTTAACAAAAAGAAAAGTCACATCAGGAAACTATCTGATTTTGTGGTAGCTGACGTAGTGTTTTCTTGTACGTGAATAGAATCCTGACATGTAGTGCACATTGATCCATAGCTTTAACTGACTCTGGGCTTTTGCTGGCCAGGGTCTGTTTAATACACTCCATTCTAGGCCAAATCAGGACAAAAAGAAAAGATCCGAATCTAGGTATTTTATAATCTGCTTTTTAACCTCTAACCGCAGAGCACGCTGATCAGACCTCATATCTCGGAGGTTTAGGAGACAAGTTAGAACTGTAGCATGTCCCCGTTCATTCTGTTTAATTTATGGTGTCTACGTCTGTGTTAGCGCGTCTGCACACGTGCGAGCGTGTAAAGCAAGGAGGAAAGAGTGGGCCGCCGCGGTGGCAGCAGGCAGTCGGGGGGCCGCAGGGGCCCGGCCCGCGTGGGCAGCAGGCTTTCCTGGGCACAGAAGGCAGCACACCGCACAGCACTCTCCCGGGCGCCTGATGGACTGAGCCCCACCAGGGGCCGCCGCTCCCCGGGCCTGGGCAGGGCTCTCGCGCACGCGCACTCTCTCTCCCGCTCTTCCCACCACAAGCACTGAGGACTGTTGACGTCGTGGGAAGCTTCCTTCCCTGCAGAAGAGAGAACGTGGCAGTCTGGGCTCTGCTCCCACCCCTGTAGAGATGGCCCACACTCACACCAAAACGTTGTTGCTCTTCACTTCCAGACCAGACCATTCATTGGCCCTTCATTCATTCTGCCTCTTGGAACAGTTCTTTTATGCAGTCTAGGGCAGTCTAAGTACAAATCAGAAGTCTAACTTGTCTCTGATTCCTCCTGTTGTCTATGTGTATATGCGTGAGAATAGAGGTGGATGAGAGTGTGCGTGTGTGCGTGTGTGCAATTTTATACGTCTGTGTATTTTCTTAAGTACCTGTGCACACATAGAGTGCATTACTGCCACCTTTTTTCAATAAGCTGTTTTATCAGTTACGGCTTCTACAAGTTTGCTAATTTAGACTCCTTTATTGCCATATCTTTAAACTAACAATAGATGATTTCGGTATATATATATATTTTTTTTTGCTTATTTATAGGTGCTGTATTTTATTATCTGATTGTTAGGAAGGGATGAAAGGGGCAAATATTCTTTAGAGGGATAGACTGCCGGCAGTATTGGGTATAATTTACAAGATGTAGTTGTCATACTGTATATTACTGATTGAAACCTTTTTGACCGTATTGTGTATCATTGAAACCTTTGTCTTAGGTCAACATCTTTGGATGGCATTTTAATGGTGCATTCATTATTTCTTAAGTTTAATTAATATTACCTTTTTTGATTTGGGGGGGGTGGGAGGGAGTTATAATTTTCAAGGTATGCTCCCGCTATTACACCTCAGTGTGCTTGTATTAATTAACTTGTAGGACTTTGACTGTAAGATGTGAAACCACATTTCTTGCATGATGTTTTAGGAATTATGTAGTTCATTTACAGTCTTTTAACCTGCAACCGCAGCACTTAGTTCAAGTTTTCACAAATTTAAGAGTCACTACACTAAAGACAATGCCTTTTCATGAATAAGAAGTTTTCAGAAGGCTCTAGGAGGCTGGGAGGCAGGCTGTTTGTCTTTTGATGGTCGTATCATCTCTGAACTTGATACCTGGTTCAGTGAGAAGAGAATTCAAAATGGAGGAGCTTAAGGGGAAACGGATTACCATCTGGCTCGATGCAGGTGCGTTAAGAAGAGCGAGTTTGCGTTAGTGACCCCCTAGGACAGTGAGTAGCAGAGCCCCTGACAGTACTGTGGTGTCCTCTCCACGAAAACCTCGAGGGAATTTTGTCATCGTGTGTGATGAATCTCTGAATATCTGATTTTCATTAGAATGAAAAGCAGGGAGTTAACCAGAAATATTAAGGGTAGTGTTTTAGTTTTAAAGGCATGACTGTTATTTACAAAGGTGTTCAATCCGAGGAAATTGAGAAAGTAGAGGTTTGGCCATCCTGGTGGCCAAATAGTAACAGTCTAAAACAGCCACTTTGGCTCTTCCAAGCGATTTAGTCCTTTTTGTTGGGTTTTGTTGGTTTGTTTGTGTTTTGTTTTGTTTTTTTAAACTAGGTTTTTGTTGATTTCCACTCTCCCTTTTTTGCCAGACTTACATCTGGGTGCTCGATACAATCAGTTGGTTAAAGTTTGCTTGCGGTTCTGTGTTTGTATTTTTTTTCTCTATTTATTTTTTTTTTTAATTGTGATCCCAACCCGATGATCTTTTGTGTTAAACTTTCACTGTCTGTAATACTTCTAAGAGCTGCCACTAAATAACAGAAACCTTTCAGGGGGTCGGGGGGAGCGTTCCCCCCTCCTCGTTGCACCCCTCAGTTTGAGTCTAAGGGTTGATCTTTCATCTTGATAAGCAATATTCAAGTGCCTTGAACAGCATCCTCTCCGGGGGGCTTCCCTTCAGCTGGCTGGCATTCCAAGCAGTAGCTCCCACAGGCAGCCGACCTCTTCCTCTTTATGCTCCATCAGTTTAAAAAGCTGATTTGTACCTCTCCCCTGGGGAAAACGGTTCCGTATAAAACACTAACACTTAATTACAAGCTCCATTATACCATTTTAAATGGCTTCTTTTTGTTAATTGGAGGCAGTGTTCATAACTTAAGGTTTTTGCCATTACTTAGCTGGCTAAGTGGAGGCTAGGAATAAAATCAGTGTTCACGTTCAGCCTCTTGACCCTTGGCTCCCACCCACCCTCCTTTGTGGGGTATCTGAGGTGGAAGGTGCACGGGTTCTGTCCCAGACCTGGGCCCGCTCGCTTCCACCGCCTGGCTCCCAGGTGACCGCCAACCTTGAACTTCTGGATCAGTCGGGATGTCTGTGATTTCTGTCCGCCAGCCCGCCTGTCCTTCTTTAGAAAGGATTACCACAGCCAGCTAGCTTGACTTGATTATTCTCGGGGCCGACTGCGTGAGGAGCATCACGACCCGAGGTGGCTCGTGGCCAGCAGACTGTCCCGGGATGCAGGCTTGGAGAAGTCTCCAGGAAAGGCCAGCATCTTGACTCGTATGACTACTATCAGACCGCGGCCACTCTGTCTGTAAGAGTGACTGAGGCAAAAAGATGACAATTGTGGCCTCCCTGCCCAGTGTCCTTGCTTTTGGCATCTTTGTTTTCTCCCCATTTAAAAACCATCCTGTCCGATGTGGACATTCAGGTCCGCTGGCTGGTGGTCCAGACCCAGAGGGCTACAGAGCTTTGGGTTGAGGGTTTCTCTGCGCTCTCTGTGGCCGTGAGAGACCCTCCCCATGGACTCCCACCCCCCCGGGCCCAGCCGGCCAGCTCTAGGAGGAAGGAAACCCCTCGTCTGCCTCCCTGGCCCGAGGCACGTCAGCTCAGCTCGTTGCCCTAAGATCATTGCCCCAGTCCTGCCCTGAGAGGCTGGGAGAAGAGTCACACCCCACCCCCCCCACCCCACCCCAGTCCAGGTACCTTCCCGGCAGGTGGACTGGGTTTCTTTGTTCCTCCGGAACTCCTGCCCTCGCTCACAGCGGTGATCAATGAACTCTATTGACATTCTATGCAATGTTTCTCCTCCCTCCCATTTTAGAAAAACCTCACTGAAGATAGCGGAGGGGCCCGGGGGGAGTAGATGCACGCCCTTCTGGGATGTGCGCAGCGTGAAACGGTGTTAGTGACTTACTCCATCTTGAGCTGGGGGACAACAGCCATTGCCTTAAATGCACTGTGACAGGCGCCTCTCGACAGGCCTGTGAACACAAAGAGTCTGCCCTTAGCCATCTCGAGCCCCCACTTTGGGAGGCCAGCAAGCCAGCTGTGCGGGGGAGATGGAGCAAGGCGAGGTTCGGGCCTGCGTGGCCAGCATGGTGGGCTGTTTGCCACGTCCCTTCAGGCAGGAGGTTTCCTTCCCTCCCTGGATGGCCTCCCTGTCAGCACCCTCCTCCCCATTTGTCCCCTTCTACCTCACTAACCTATGCTCCCAGTTGACGCCACTCCTCCCCCCATTCCCGTCAGAACCGCGAGGCACAAGTGGGCTCTGGGGGGGGGTGCGGAGAGTGCTAGAAGCGTGGCGTTCGTGAGTATGTCTGGGCCTGGTGAGCAGGCTTTCCTTCCCTCTTCTCTTTGTGAGCACAACATGGACAGGCAGCTGTGCTCCGTGAGGCACATGGAATTTTCTCTTGACTTCCACCTGTCCCTGACGCTCTGACGGCTGCTTCCCCTGCAGGCAGGGGCGGTCTCGGGCCTCAGAGGGCCTTGCTCTGTCCTGCTCAGCTGTTAAGATCTGTCCGAGCCATTTCCCTTGCCCTGGGCTGCCCCTAACTGGCCACGTGAGGACACTGCCCCAGGATTCCTACCCAGAGTTGGGGAACTCCGTCTTTGTCTCTGGCACAGGGAGGCCATGATTCAGCTCCACTGTGAGACCTGCTTTGGAAGCGTCTCGAGGCCGGGAGAGGAATTGGCGTTCTCCTGTCCGCAAACCCAGTCTTCAGTCATCTGACTCTTCCCAAGAGTAGACCAGTTTCTACGCAGTGCAGAAAACCACCCCAGCTCCCAGAGCCGCTGGTTAGACGTGGGCCCACGCTCTCTGGTGGCCGGAGTGTTCTCCTGGTGGAAAAGAATTGGAAGTGGGAGCCTAAGGATTTGTGCCGTCATCGGGCGCTTGGGCATTTGTCAGGAAAAGACCGCGGTTAGAAATCCCCCCCGCCCCCCAGTGCTTTTGTGGTTTCGTGTGGGCCTTGGTGGCAACAGGGGAGCCTTCGTGACCCCCAAGGCAGAGCTCCCGCCCCAAGTGGCAAAATGGTGGCCTGGGCCTCCAATGTGACAGAGTTCCGTTTCCCGGTGCACTGAAAACGACCAGGAAACAAGTTCCCAAGGAAAGTTCCAGAAAGATCCAGCCTGTGAATCCTTAGAGATGTGCTGAAAGCAGAGGCCCAAACCCTCGGAGTGAATCAGGAAGGCAGAGGAGGGGCGAGGAGGGCAGTGAGCTGGGCAGGAAATGAGCCCCGCCCGAGTTCCCTGCCCCATCCTCCCCAGGGAAGGAGGAAATGCAGCTTCCCAGTCTCTCCCACTTGCGGGACCCGCCCGCACCTGCCCAGGCCTTGCTGCCATCCTCCCTCCACCTCCCCTCCAAAGATACTGTGACCACACTGTCGGTGGTATCTCCATTCTAATTTTTGCATGAAGTGACATTTAGCTTTAACAAGACATTTCCAAAGCGCCTAGTCTCCTCCGGAATGCTAACTTTAAAAGTTGGGCATTGTAGGCGAAGAATCCTAAAAAAGGCTAGCGAGAGAAAGGCATTAGGCTATGCATAAATGTGCACTTCCCCAACCCCCTGTTATGAACCTTTGAAAATAACTTTGAGTTGCTTTCCATGGGTCATTATAGTTTCTCCAGTGACGTTAGGTATTGTCTGTGTTACTGTCATTTCCGTAGCGTTTAGGCTTTAATTTTCTACCACAAAATATGCTATATGCTATGTATCAAGCTTTCTGTGATCAGAAAGGAAAGGTGCCTTATATCCCAATGTCACGGCTACATCCCTGTGGAAAATAATCAGAAGCACAGTGTGTACGGAAGCGTTGGGACTTCCGTTGGTGAAACCAGACACCGTTCAGCAAGATGCATTGAAAAAGTGGCACGGGGCTGCTTTTGTTTGAAAGTTCCTCTCCTTTTTCGTTTTTCCATCTTTTGCTTTGCTTGCTTTCTTTGCTTTCTTTCCTTTTTTTTTTTTCGTAGTTTGCTTTAAACAGAAAGCACTTAAGTAGATGACTATGTGTAAAAAGCTCTGTGCAATAGAAATCCTTTTTCTTCATTTTTAAGAGATAATGTATTGCACACCAAATGAACTCAAAGTAAGCTTTAGACCAGGACGATTCAGGTTGTGGATGAGTATGTTCACTGTAGTTCCGTTTGTTCATGAACTGAAGGGAAAACAGGCCTCCCCAGCCCCCCCCTTTCTCAGTTTGCCTCTTGCTGACCACCGAGCTAGGTGTGCAGGGCCCCCAGGCCCCGGGGCAGGAACCGCTGGCTGGGTGGCAGGGGGGTGGGGGCGAGTCGGGGTGGGGGGGTGACTCAGCAGCTAAGAACCCTCCCGAGGGTGAGAACACAGCCATCCCTTCCAGCACTTAACCTTTTCTTGTTGAGATGGATTGACTGCTACTGACCTGCCAGTGTGCGTGAGGATAATTATAAAAGGATGTTTCCTTGAGAAGAAAAAAAAAAAGTTTATTTCTATCCTCTTCTATTTATTGTTAGGTTAATCATTTAAGTTCTTATCGGGAGTGTATTGTTGTTTTGTGTTGTTGCTATAAATGCTTTTTGCTATCACTCCAGTGGTTACTGTCTTCGCCTTCTGCCCTCTCCCCCCCCCACACACACACACCCCAAAAGAACCGAAGGGTCTGGGGATTGGACTGGGGGGCAGAGTGGGCTTCTCCAGCAGAATCAGACCTCTGGCTCCAGAGTAGCCGCTCAAAAATTGGTCGTCTCCACACGTCCAACTTGTTAAATGAGAGAGTTGAAGAACGCTCGTGTGAGGAGCTACAGAGACTTAGAAAAGCAAAGTTCAGTTCCCCAAAGCCTCCTAGAGCCTCTGGTAAGCCTTCTGGGTTCATGAAGTTTCAGCGAGGCCTGGTCGGAGCGGGCGCAGTGGCCTGGTCGAGACCCTGGCTTCCGAGGGGGAGAGAGCAGTTTCTTGCAAGGCTCGCGTGGGTTGCTCTGTTTTGTTGGCTTTTCTTGTCGTTCTTGTGGTTGTTTCCCTTGCATACAAAGTTGGGTCAGAACCATCTTGGGAAGCAACGGTGATTCCGAGTCCGGCTTGAGGACCCTCAGCAGGGAGGTCGTGGGGGAGCCCCTTTCCCCCTTCATGTGGTGAAGCGTGGAGTGGGGGGAACACGTTGCTTGCTAATCAGGTGTGAAGGTGAGGTGGGGTCGGCCTTCCGGGCCCAGGAGGAGGGGGCGCCCCGCGAGGCCGAGGTCCAGGTGGGGCCACACAGCCGCCCCGTTCGCCGCCGCTCCCAGAGGGCCCCCCAACCCCCGCCTCGCTTTCCGTGCCATGACTTCTTCCCCTTCTCTGAAATCGTTGGGGGTCCTGATCTTGTTCTCGTCTCTCTGAAAGAAAGCCCTCCGATGAAATCATCGCCCCCATCCCTCCTCCCGCACCCCCCACCAAAGGGTTTTCATTTCTCTCGAATTAGTCTATGCATTTCTCTCTCTTGAGCCGTTTTCTGCCTCTTTCCTTGAGAAAACGGGCATCTCCTGTCCCACCGAGACCCCTCAGAAAATGCTGTGCATTTTGGAGACGTGAGGATTCATGCAAAAACTCTTACAGCATTTGAGAATAACTGGTCGGAAAATAGAAGTGGGGAAAAAAAAAAAAAAGGAAAAGTGGGTTTCCCCGCGTCCCTTTCCACTGAGACCTAGCTCTTTGCGATGTGCAATAACTACTTGCCATGAGAGCGGGTAGCCACGCTCCTGTCCAGACTACTAACGCCGCACAAGACAAGCTCGCTCGCAGAGTGGCGGACTTCTTCCGGAATACCTTTCATAAGCTCAGCTCCCCCCGCCCCCAGTGTATCGTGGTGTCTTTACATTTTAGCAGTATTTTATATTTTCTGTAACGCACTAAGTCTTAGATGTTTTTAGAGCTCGTTTGTTAATACAATCACAGACTTTTTTTTTTTAATCCTCACAGAGACCCAATTGACCAAAAACAAAAACAAAAAAAAACAAAAAAGAAAACCAACAAAAAAAAAAAGGCGTCATTTTTGTACAAATAGCTTCGAGAAGCCTCTGTTGTGTTGCTGTGACCCATCTCTGGTAACATTTTTTTTTTCCTTGCTATTTGTTTTCGACATTAAGAGTCAAAAGTTGATCCAGCTGGCGTGGGGGTGGGGGAGGCACCCGTCGGCCCCTGGCGTTGTCCCTTCGGTCCTTGGTTAGCCATACGATGTTTGTTCTCAGCACTGTACAACGGTCCCTATATGATATGGAGAAGCAATATCACTGTATGAAACTCACACCATGTATTATTATTATTCACTAGCACCCTAGGTGTGATAATTGAAGTAAATATCTTTTATACAAACACAAGAACGCGTGGGTTGTTTTTATTTGAAGTGCCCCGGCCTGAGGAGAAGCAGCAAACACTCTCATTCTGGGTCCAGAGGGCACCTCAAGAGTTGCCATGCCCGAGGTAGCCATCCCTCCACCTGCTGGTGCTTCTGGTCCCGTGGGGCCGCCAGGCAGGTGGCAGCAGAGACCTGGCACGGGGTCGGGTGTGCGGGGGTCTGGGCACCGCTCTCCACCGCGTCTCCATCCGGGCCTGCGTCCCTGTTCCGCTTGCTGTCGCCGGCCTTACTGTTTGAGTAGCCTTGAAATGCTGACCCTCCTGGCATCCGCTTCCTTGTCTGAGAAATGCGAACACCATCGCTTGTCGCGCAGGCTCGCGAGGACCGGGGGTGGTGGCCGACGGTGCTGGGCGAGGCACCAGGCTGATGGTGGCAGCCCCGCTGAGTGGGGCTCGGGTGCCCGGGGGCCGCGGCCAGGTACCCCTGGAGGGCAGCCCGCACCCAGCCAGTGGCCTGGCCTAGCCTGCTCTGTGTGTGTGTGTGTGTGTTGGGGGCGGGGGGGCGGTGTGTGGCGTCTCTCACTTTGTCCCTGAATCCTGATGTCAAAGACAAGCCCAGGGTACCCGGTAACGTGAGCAAGCGTGAGTGGAAAGAGGAAGGAGGAAACGGTGTCTGCGGGTTTCTGGAATGGTCGGGCTCCTGAGAAGGGGTCTCCAGCCAGTGCTCGGGGGCTCTGCAGAGTTGGCTGTTAGGTGGTCCACATGCTCCTGACTGAGGAGGTTTCTCATTTTGAAATCTAGAAGGTTGGAGGAGAATCGCCATTCTCACCGATGTGTGACGGGGCAGGGGGAATTGGTTTGTTGCGCGGTAATTTGTAGGTTCCAGAATGTGCAGTAATTTGTAGGTTTCAGAATGTGATGCTCCCACATGTGGTACAGAAGCCTGAGCCATCCTCCCTCCAGTGGGAGAAGTCCCCGCAAGCACAGGACAGTCTCCCCCAAATGTCTGCCCCCACAGGGGGTAGGATAAAATTAGGATAAAACCAACAGCTCTGTTCTGAGTCTGACTCTGCTAACATAGTTCTACTTCTCCGCTGCCTAGTTTAGGTATGCCCCCCTCATTAAAGATCTGTTAACCAAATTAAAACATAAAATGTGAAAAAATAAAAATAAAGAACACTTGGCACAAAGCCTTCTAACCCAGAAAGTCTCCCCCGGTGCTTTTAAAGTGAGATTTAATTAAGCAAAACTATAGTCGCACGTGGTTCCGTAGGCCTGACTCTGTAAACGGCCAGCTCCCGAGGCAGGGAAGGGAGCAGGGTTTTGTGCTCCGACCAACAGGCTGGTGTCCCCGGTCCAGGCAGAGTCTCAGCCTCCCCGTGTGTGGCCTCCGTCTCCCTGAAGTTAAGTGGGTCTCAACAAAATGACCCCAGGAAATACGATTGGTGATACAGAGGCTGAGGCCACCTGATGACATGCAGTTGACCCTTGAAAAACACAGGGGTCAGGGGCGCCAACCCCCGACACAGTCGAAAATCTGCATATAACCTTTGACTCCCCGAAAACGTAACTACTAATAGCCTAGTGTTGACCCGAAGCCTTACCCATGACATAGTTGCTGAACACATATTTTGTATTTATACGTGTAATATACCGTATCCTTACAATGAAGTAAGCTAGAGGAAAAAAAGTTATTAAGAAAATCACAAGGAAAATACATTTACACTAGGGAACCATAAAAAATCCGTGTGTACATGGACCCGCGCCATTCAAACCCGTGTTGTTCAAGGGTCAACAGTAATCATCAGTGTGCGAGTCATCCGCTGGGATCCTGCCTGCTTGTGTTTTTGAAAGGGGTTCCGAGTGGCTGCCTTGGGTTGGGGTACGTTGCTGCCTCCTCCACAGTCCCTATCGCGCCGGCTTTCGGGGGCACACAGTTTGCCAGTCTCCTCTTGGACACGGCATTGGTTCCTGGGCAGGGGCGTGGGGGCCGAGCTGAGAACGCCGAGGGCTCGGGAGAGCTGTTTTGATGTTGGTGGGGCAGGGGGAGGCTTCTGGTCACCAGACCCTTGATCTGCGTCTGGGCACCCCCCCCACCAGGGCGGGGGGAGCCACGTTAGTGGAAGTGGGATGCGCAGCGCGTGCCCGGTGTGGGCCAGGCACTCAGAAGTGACTGCCTCCTCCAAGAAGCTTGGGCTCTCAGAAATGTCGAGAGGAAGGGCCATTTTTTTTTCCTTTGTTCAAGAAGTTGGTTTGTGGACAGGTGAAAGCCTGCTCTGTTTGGGACAGCGGAGTGGGGGCCTCCGGGGAGTGAGGTTTGAGGACCCCGCTCACTTCACAGTGAGGCGTCGGGACCCTTCTGTATGGTCAAGTGGCAATGCGCTCGAGTCCCAGGGTCTTCTCTCACCGGCTGGAGGGCGACCTTGGGCAAGTCCTAGTCAATGCTCAGGAAACCCTTTCTGAGACAATGCACGAATTTAGCTTCTTTGAGCTTCCATTTCTATCTCTGTGGAGCTGATATGATAATGCCAGACTCGCAGGGCTGCCGGAGCAGGGCGGGGGGCGGGGGGAGTACCGGACGATGACACCTGTAGACTGTTCATTACAGCGCCCAAGCCCACAGCAGGCACTCAGGACCTGTTAGTGGTGGCGCTTGATGTGGCTGTTCTGTCATCAGATTGGGTGGCTGGAGCGGCTCCCTCCATTCAAAGTCCTTTCCACCTTGTGCTGGATCCAGAGGAGCCCCTACACGGGAGCGCGGGTTGGCCGGAGCTCCGGCGGCCGGGCCTGACCACCACCAGTGATGTCCAGTGATGCCCAGTGATGCCCGAGATGCACGCAGGCGCGCAGCCCGGGCAGCCGAGTCCCCCACCCCCAGCAGCTCTCTCCAGCCTCTGCTAAAAATTCAGGTCTCCAGGCTGGACCCGGCCACAGACAGGAAGGAAGGCCCCCCCCCCCCCGCCTGCGCCTCAGTCCTATGGAGAGGGGGACCGTGCCTCCCACAGGGGCGGGTTCCTCTTAGAGGCCCATCTGACTGAAGCATCTGGTGAGGCTGCTCCCCGCCCCGGGACCCCCAAGCCCAGGAGCCTCTCATGTTTGAGGAGAGCAGATCCTCCGGGACAGTGGTTCTCGACTGGGGGGACTTTGCCCCTCAGGACATTTGGCAGCGTCTGGAGGCATCTGGGGCTGTCGCCGCTGGGCAGGGTGGTGCCTCTGGCATCGAGGGGAGAGGACAGAGATGCTGGTAAACACCCTACAAGGCATCGGACAGCCTCCCCATGCCCAGCAAAGAAGGACGTGGCCCCAAATGTGAACAGTGCTGAGTTGAGGAGTCGGGGGCTCCTTGATGGACGTAGTCAGCAGAGAGGCACCGAGAACTGCCCTGTGCCAGGGACAACGTGCTCCAGGCTGGGAGTCCAGCAGCCTCGAGCCGCTGCCAGCCCAGAGGGGAGGCAGAGCAGTGCAGAACCACAGCCCAGGCCTTAAAATGGGAAAAGGCATTTGAGGAGGAAAGGGAAGCAGGTGCACAGTCAGCAATATAGCAAGTCAGAGGAACAGCAAGCCCCTGCGCGCGGGCAGGGCGGACAGGTGGCAGGGGGACAGCTGATCGGCATAGAGGGCTAACCATGCCACTGATCTGCAGTGATAGCAGAGGACAAACGAGGAGCTTGCCTTTCAGTGGGGGCAGACGGTAGACCAAATAAGTAAGTAGGACCTAGTGTCTTAGACAGTGGTCAGTGTTACAGGAGAAAGACAAGGTAAGGGGGACTGGAAGAGCAAGGTGAGGGGTTAAAGTTTTAAATCAGGCGGTCAGGGTAGGCCTGGCTGAGAAGATAACATGTGAACAGTCTTGACAGAGGGGAGGGGATGAACCATGCCAATGCCTGAAGTAAGAACATTCCAGGCAGAGGGGAAACAGTAAGTGCAAAGGTCCTGTGGTACAGATGTGCCTGGGAGCCAGAATAGCCGAAGCAAAGCCACCAAGGGAAAGAGTGGGAGGCAACCAGGTCGGAGAGAGGAGAGAGGGAGAGGCAGGGCAGGAGGCGGGGCCTTGTAGGCCGATGCAGAGTTTTGGCGGTTACTCTGAGGGACATAGGGTCCATTGGAGGGTTTGGACAGAGGGTGGTCTAATCTGACTGTTGAAAGGCTCTCTCTGGCTGCGGCTTTGTGACTAGACCATAGGGGTAAGGGTGGACGAAGGCAGATCGGTGAGGAGGCTGTTGCCATAAGGACCAGAGGCTCTGATTTGCACCAGGTGGCGCAGTGGTGAAAAGTGATTGGATTCTGGATGTATTTTGAGGGTAGAGCCAAAGATAGGACTTGAGACAGATTAGATGAAAGGAGTGATAGAGAAGAGCAAGGATGGGCTTGGGGCTGAGCCACTGAACCGAGCCTGGTCTCTGCTCCCCCAGCGCTGGGGACACCACCTCCCAGGCTGTGCGGGGGGGAAGGGGGGGGACGTCCCACTGGGGTAAAGCAGGCTTGAGGGGTGGGGATCAGGCTTCAGTTTGGACTGGTTTGGACTCCACGCAGTGAGCTCAGGGAGAAGAGTGGCCTGGAGGCCACGCTGGAGAGTTACCAGATTTCAGTGGCATGCAAGGTGGCCAGAGTGAAGGACAGGAGAGCGGCGTGTGGGGACAGCTCCCGGGTCCCGCAGCGCTAAGAGCTTAGCAGGGACAAGGTGCAGCAAAGGAAAGAGAGGGCGCAGCCAACCGGGCAGGAGGCCCGAGAGGCCGCAGTGACCTGGGCACAGCGGTGTGCGGGGTCATCGGCCACCTTGGCAAGGACAGTGGGTATATGGGCGTCCAAGTCCGAGGGGAAAGTTTTAAGGATGTGGACACTTGAGAACAGGTTAACTTCTTCAGGGAGTTTTGCAGGAGGGGAAGTAGAGTCGAGAGGAGTGTGTGTGTGTGTGTGTGTGTGTGCGTGTGTCTCAGATGGCAGCCCAACACACTCATGTGCTTGTGGAATGCCGGGGGCTTGTCTCTGGCCACCTGGGGGGACAGACAGGTGCAGAGACGGTGGG